GGCCTATTATCCAGTTAATAATCACATCTTCTGTTCAGTTAATAGCATTTTTTAAAAACATTAATTCTTTAACACTCTTTTTCTTGGCCAGAGCCCCATACTTTCAGGCTTGGTCATGATTCTGTTTTTGGACAGCGTTTTATAAGTAAAGGAGAAAGGGTGCTATTTCAGAGCCTAGGGCTTAAGAAGGTTTTTATGTTTCTGCTTATTCTCTTGAACCTCTGCCACTTCATGAGAAGAATATGCTAATGTAGTAAGGATGGGAGACACTGGGAGTAGAGCCATTTCAGCTGACATAACAGACTTATAAAAACTCCTCCCACTTTAGCCAGGTTCAAGAGAAACCTAGATGAACTTAATCTATGTACATTAGCTAAATTATAGGATAACACAGATATGAAAATAATAACAAATGATTGCGATTTTTAACGACTGAATATTCAGGATTTTTGCTAAGCAACAGCAGCAGCCTAGATAGTAATTTTAAGGAGTATATGTCCTCTATAGACAGGTGGAAAATAAGGAACTTAAATATCTGTATTCACTTTAATCTCCCTTTCTTTTTATTTTTATTAAATTTATTGGGGTGACATTTGTCAACATGAACATAATAGGTTTCAGGTGTGGGTTTCTATGTTATAAGAGCTGTATATTGCACCGTGTGCCCAGCATCAATAGTCAAATCTCTTTTCTAATAAAAGTAAAACTTATTCTGTGTCATAGGGAATCTGTACTTCTCTGCATAACAAGACTTCCCCTAAAGGCCACTGACAAAAAGACTTATGAACTGTTGCCAATTTTCCCTGGCCGGTCCTGAACATTTCTCACTGGTTCTAGCCTATAAAAAAGAATTATATTTCATCTTTGCTGATGAGAGATGAAAAACTTAACTGGGAAGAGATAATCTATATCCTAAAAGAGTTATAAAGCCTATCAACTTACATAGCCACAAAGTTGGTAGGACAATCAGAGAATAAACATAAGTCTTAAATGAGCTAACATTGTCATGGATTGGGAAGGAAGAATTAATATGCTAATATGAGCATCTGGATCAATGAAAATATGATAGCTAATCAAAGACAGGACTTAATTTTAGCTTAGAAAATTAGGGTAGAAGTGCCAGAGTTGTCTTTTTTGTTGTTGTTTTATTTTATTTTTTTATATAATAGAGGTAGCAATTCATCAGTTCATAAGCTCATTATTATGGGAATGTTTGAAGGAATCAATTGTACATAAATTGCTTAATTACCCCTTCATTTCTATATTCAGAGTTTATAGGAGGGCATTTCATCAGCTAAGAAGGAAGTCCATTCACCCAGCAGGATACTGCACTTGCCAACATTAAGCACAGAATTGGTGAGAAGGCACTTATAAAGATACTTTTTTATTATCTTTATAATCTCTATGGCAATTATCTTTTATAGGCTGGAGATAATGTGAAGTTGGGTTCTCTGATATGAATTAGGAAAATGGGATTCAATGATAGATAAATCTTGTTGAATTTGTTTGCCTATCATAAAAAATAAATTAAGCAAATAACAATACACATCAGGGAAATGGAATGGTGATTGTTGGATTGATTCACAGATTATCTTTGGCTAATCAATGATGGGTTACTAGAAATAAATTAGATGGATAATTTATTTTCAAATGTATATATGTATTTATTTTTTCAGGACAAAAATTAGATTTAACTTGCCTTTGTAGGGATTCGTAGGCTTTTAGACAACTTCAGACCTAAGCTTTGTCACACACTTAGTCCCTCAACTGGAGGATTGCAAGTCCTTGAAGTAGAAACTTGCAATAGAATCACATGTGTTACACGTTTGTTCCTGAAGTCTCCTCAGAGGGATCTGAGGTCATTTGCCAGTATGATTTCACTGATGAAAGAAAGATATGCATACCTTTCAGAGGTTATTTATAGTGGCCCTGAACTTATGATTTTCTTTGAAATATCTTTGTTCCACCAGTAAAAAGACAAGATTATTTAAATTTGGTAGATTAGCCACTAAACTATGTTTTATTTTGCTTCTCCCCCACCCACACATAGTTCCTGAATATTTAGTGTATTCAATATGCTTAGTAATTAATAGAGAGAATTTTCATACTGGAATAAAATATTATAAAGGAAAGCCCAGCTGGAAGATTTTGAAATGCCCCTTCATACTCATTCAAATTTTAAACTAAGAACAATTTTACATTCCTAAGTGATTTTAGTGTTTAGCATCCCCTTGGAAGGTTTGAGAGTTTCAGGGGTAGCGACTCAAAGCATGTTACTATTTACTCCACCAGACTGGACAGTGCCTAAGCCATAAAAAAATGATAGAAATAATAGATTACCAGAAATTTAAGCAGATTGTGATACAAATTTTGACTGCAATTCTAGATTCTGTATCTCTATTAGGACAGATAAGCAGAGTCCTTGCTTGGAGGGCAATCATGACATAGCAGATGTGTCTTTTTTTATCCTAATCAATAAATGTCCAGTTGAATTTGTCCAACTGTTTTTTTAAAATATATTTTAAAAGGTCAATATAAAGAAATACCAATTCTTCTCAAAGTGATCTACAAATTCAGTGGAATTCTAATTAAAATTCTACCTGGTCTTATTTTAATATTTTGGATGTAGAGACTTATGCAGAACATAGTTGGTTGTAAAAGAAAAAAAAAAGTCAAACAAAACTAAAGCTTCCTAAAGAAGATTAAGAAGATGAGATATCTTCCCCTGCCAGTATTGAGATATTTGAAAGGTAAGTAATTAAGATTTATGGCATAGGCACATGGGTGGAAAATTGAACTAACGAAATAGAATAGAGGCAGAGAAATAGATATACTCACATATGGGGATTTAATCTGTGATTAAGAAAGCATTGCAAATTAGGCAAATCTGCGTGTAAAAGGCTGGATTATTTAATACATGTAGTAGTCACAACTGGTTATTCCTATGGAAAAAAAATGAACTTAGAGTCCTACCTAATATAACTCACACAAAACTCCAGATAGATCAAAATTTAAATATGGACAGGAGAACTTTAAATATTTAAAAAGGGAATAGAAGAAACAAATTTTCCCCTAAGGTAAACACTTTTTTACTTCCGGTTAAATTTATTGGGGTGACATTCTATATAATAAAAGGTTAATATTCAAATCGACCAAATGGCAGAACGACCAGTTGCTATGATGTGCACTAACCACCAGGGGCAGATGATCAATGCAGGAGCTGCCACCTGGTGGTCAGTGCACTCCCAAAGGGGGAGTGCTGCTCAGCCAGAAGCCCTGACCTGGGCTCTCAGCTGGTGAGTGCAGTGGTGCAGCAGCAATAAGGATGTCCGACTGACAGCTTAGGCCCACTCCCCATGGAGCTGTCAGTCGGATATCCCCCAAAGGCTCCTGGATTGCGAGAGGGCTGAGGCCAAGCTGAGGGACACCCTGAGTGCACAAATTTTGTGTACCAGGCCTCTAGTAGGAGAATAAGATTACATAGGCTTCAAGTGTATATTTCTGATACATGATCTTCACATCCACCATAATTATATATTATTCTTTTTTTTTGCTCTCCCAACCTCCTTTCCTCTGGTAACCACCACACTATTGCCTAGGTCTGTGAGTTTTTGTTTGTTTTTGTTTGTTCATTTGTTGCTTTCAATTTAATATCCCACATATGAGTGAAATCATATGGTTCTTAGCTTTTTCTGACTTACTTCACTTAGTGTGATATTCTCAAGGTCCATCCATGTGGTCACAAGTAGGAGTATTTTAGCTTTTTCTTATGGTTGAGTAGTATTCCATTGTATATATGTACCACATCTTCTTTATCCAGTCCTCTATTGAAGGACACTTCTATTTTTCTATCTCTTGGCCACCATGAATAAATCTGCAATGAACATAGGGGTGCATGTGTCCTTGCGGATAAATGTTTTCAAAGTTTTCATGTAGAAGAGGATTTTCATGTAGAAGGGTCAGAAGGTAACTATACTTAATTTTTGTTTTTGAGGAACTTCCAAACTGTTTTTCAGAGAGGCTATAAAAATGACTTGACCAAAGAAAAAATAAAAGGTGAGATAAAAAATATATAGATAGACAAATAAGGATAACAATACAATATATCAAAAATTTTGAGATGCAGCAGAAGCAGTAGTATGAGTGAAGTTTTGTATCATTACAGTCATATCTCAAGAAACAAGAAAAATCTCATGAACAACCTAACATTACATCTTAAAGAACTAGAAAAACAAAAGCAGCCTAAAGAAAGAAACAAAAATTAGACCAGAATTGAATGATATAGAGAACAAAAAGACCACTATACAAAAATTAATACAACAAAGAGCAGGTTCTTTGAAGAGATTAGTGAAATTTACAAACCCTTGGCTAGAATCACTAAGGAAAAAATGAGAAAGATTTATTTTAACAAAGTTAATGAAAGAGAAGTTACCACAGAAATACATAGGGTCATAATAGAATACTATGAAAGACTATATGCCACAACACTCAGTAATTTAGAAAAAATGGATAAGTACCTAGAAATATGTAACATTTCTGGACCGAATCATGAAGAATTGGAAAATTTAAATGAACTTAACAATAGTGAGGAAGTTGAAACAACCATCAAAAACCTCCCCAAAAGTAAAAGTCTAGGACCAGATGGCTTCACTAGCAAATTCTACCATCCATTAAAAAAAAATTATGCCTATCCAATTCTTCCAAAATATTAAAGAAGAGTCAATAAATTTTCCTAACACATTTTGTGAGATCAACAGAACTCTGGTACCAAAACCTGGCAAGGATAAGACACAAAAGAGGGAAAAATACAGACAAATATCTCTAATGAATACAGATGAAAAAAAAATCCCAAGGTAAACAATATATTCAATACAATTGGACTGGAGGATAGAGGGCATCAGTAATGTTCTACTTCTTCATTTGAATGATGGTTATATGTATGTTCACATTGTTATTTGTTAAATTACATGCATATATTAATTGATTCGGTAAAATATAGCATCTATTCTGTTTGTCAAATCCACATAGGTTCCATTATTTTGGCAAGGTTTAGAGGAACACTCAGGTTCTATTTCACACAGAAGTCCAAGTAACACAGGTCTGCAAACACAACTTTTAAAGAAGAAATTTAAGAATTTCATTGATATAAATGTATAAATTCATACCTTCAAATAAGTATAGCATGACAATTTGTTAATAATAAAAATGTTCAATTTGTCAGTTGAAAATATAAACTTGCATACATTTAGATCCATGGAGATGCATAAACATGCACCTAGATTTCTTTTTGGTTTTCCCTACCTGAAATTGTTGACCCCATCTTCACAGTCACGATAATTCTTACAAGGAAAGGAGAAGAACTCCTTCATGTTAACTTTACAGTGCTCCCTTCAAATCCTGCTAAGAGAGATGTGAAGAATATGGATGAGCAATCCTCATTTCAGAGTGTGGATAACATCAGTGATAAACAGTCTGGAGAATTTGCTTATAATGGAACTTAAGAAGAAAAAAAAGAAAGAAAGAGAAACCTCCTCATCTCTAGTTTCTAATACACCTCTATTTCATATAATGCATAAATAAAATTATGCTAGTTTCTAATTAATGCATTCAAATAAAAGAATCAAGGGAGGAATACTTTACTAAATTCCTTGGGAAAATAGGGTTGTTGCTAATGTTGCTGTTGTTTTAAGGTATTTAAGTGTTTAAACAAGAAGAATTCAAACCATCTGAAAAGAAAATGAATTATTGTGATGGCTAATCTTAAAGTAAAATTGAGCATCAATGATCAAATTTATTCAAGGCAGTTAGCAGATGAGGCAGATTATTTAATTGCTTTTCATATCCCAGTGACTCAAAGAAAACAAATTATTTTCATTCACAGCTACATAAGAAGTCATCCATTTAAACACATGCCAGTTACATTTTAAAATAACAAAGAATATTTAAAAATTACACAGACTGAAAAGAGAGGCAGCTGTAATTAGTTCAGAACCATGTCAGAAAAAATAAGCATCATTATCACTTATTAAAATACATTAAAATTTTAATATATTTATGATAACCACTTATACAATTATTAATATTTCCATGATTATATATTAACTAGGTATAACAAAATATATACTTATACTCATTTTGTCTTGATAACATTTTTCTATACTAGTTAGAAAATATAAGAAACAAGATTTTCCTCTCTTTTACATTTTTTAGTGATAAAACTAAGCACCAAATAATTGCAGTGCCATTATATATGTCAAAATATACTCAGATTGGTATTACTCTAAGAACATTGTGTTTATTATTGGCATGCACATAGACTGGTATTGGAACTAAGAAATGTCTGAAAGAGGAGGTGGTCCAGCTACCCATGAATGGCCTTCCTTCCCTAATACCTTCTCATACCTTTCCATACTCAAACATCTCTTCAAGTTCAGTTTCAAATCATATATATTATTGGCATGCAGATGATATAACACAGTTTCCCTGGTCTCTATCTTTGCATCATGATTGTTTAGCTTCCAGTACCTATTGCTCAGTGGAAAATCCTCTCCGTATTTTCTCAGTCAGGTTTTCATGAGAGAACATGGGATTTGCCTACTTTATCTGTTCACATCATACAATGCCCTAAGCCATTGTCCTGCTCTATAGTATGTACCATCCAGTCAGGTGCTAAACCGTCTTACAGCTACATTTTGGAAATCTGGTAATACATTTTCTAAAATAGGGCTGTCTCTTCAGCAGAAAATAATATGTAAAACTAAAAGTAATCTAAAAAGAAGAGTAAAAATAAAAAATACAGGTACAACAAATAGAAAACAAACAGTAATATGGTATATTTAAAGCCATATATATTAACTAGAGGCCTGGTGCACAAGATCCATGCACTTGGGGTGGGGGAGGGGCAGTTACCCAGCCCAGCCTGCACCCTCTTGCAGTCCAGCAGCCCACTGGGGATGTTCGACTGATGGCTTGGGCCCGGGGGAGTGGGCCTAAATTATCAATCAGACATCCTTAGTGCTGCAGTAGAGGCTATGGGAGTGCACTGACCATCAGGGGGCAGCTTCTGCATTGAGCGTCTGCCCCTTGGTGGTCATTGTACATCATAGCAATGTGTTGTTCCACTGTTGGGCTGAAACTGGCTCTCTGACATCTCCTGATGGGTCACAAATTGTGAGGGGACGAAGGCCAGGCCAAGGGATTCCTTCAGTGCACAATTGGGGCCGGGGAGGGATGCAGGAGGTTGGTCAGCTAGGAAGGGGCCACGGAAAGGCTCCAGGCGATGTCTAGCCCATCTCATTCAGTCCCAATCAGCTGGACAACAGCAGTAAGCTAATCTATCAGTTGGACTGTCTGCCCCCTGGTGGTCAGTGCACGTCATAGTGAGCAGTTGAGTGGCCTTAGCATATCATTAGCATATTATGCTTTGATTGGTTAAACAGCCTACTGGATAACTTGACACTTAGCATATTAGGCTTTTAATAGATAGGATAATTATATTAAATAAGATATTTAAAAACATTCCAATTTAAAGCAGAAATAGACTAAACGAACCATAATATCTAAAAGAAATTCCATTCTATCTAAAAAAATATGAAATATGCAAATTGACTATCACGCCATAACAAGATGGCTGTGCCTACAGCGGAGGCCAAGTTTCCATAATAAGCTTTAATGATCAATCAGCAGGGACCTGAGGCTGTGGTGTGCTAGGCTGGGGCAGGGAACCTGAGGCTGCACCCCCTGCCTGGAGGAGCAGGAAACTCAGGCTGTGCCCCCCATCCCAGCGGCAGGCCAGGGGACCTCAGGCCACACCCTCTGCCGGGCAGGGCCTGACGGGGGACCTGAGACTTCACCCTGTGCATGGTGGGGCTTGATGGAGGTCCTCAGGTCACACCCCCTGGGCTGGGCCAGGGGATCTCAGGGTACACCCCCTGCCGCAGCTTGGAGGACCTGAGACCATGCCCCCTGACCTGGCGGAGCTTGACAAGGACCTCAAGGCATGACCCTGTTCTGGCCTGGGTCAGCGGACCTCAGGCCATGAACCCCACCCCAGTGCCAGGCTGGGGAATCTGAGGCTGCACCCCCCACCTCCCAAGCCCCTGTCTGGTGGGGCTTGATGGGAAACCTCAGGCAGCTCCCCTGGCCTAGGCCAGGGGACCTCAAGGCATGCCCCTGGACCAGGCTGGGGGAACTGAGGCCACAGCCCCTGCCCAGTTGCCAGGCCAGGTGACCTGAGGCCACGCTCCCTCCCCCTGGTGGGGCTTGAAGGGGTTGGGGCCAGCAAGGTCTGGATCTAGCCCAAAGGGGGTGGGGCCAGTTGGGTCTGCGTCTCATGCAATTTCGAGGTGCCCATGGGTGGGTGGTGACTTGACTCTGGTTCCTGTGGCATACCCCAGACTCTGACAGAGGAAGATTTTCATATACATTTCATTAATTTTCTTTCATCCCTGACACTTCTATTATAGAGAAAGGGCAAATTGCAATATTAAAATATTTCTTCTAATTAATTTGCTTTTAATGTGCATGAATTTTGTGCACTAGTTCTCTGGTTTAAATATAAGTACAAGTATAGGTTAAAAGTAGGAATATAAAATGAAATTATTAATAAAATATTAATCATAATACCACAGAGCCAGGCAGTCTTCAGAACAAGCATCATTATAAATTTGTCCTATTTTTTTTATTCCTCAACTATCAAAAACTTCAAGTTAAACTTTGAAATTGCATGCTTATAATTTCATTCATGTACTAGAGTTATATCCTCAGCATTAAAAATAAAATTTGAGTTATTTCCAAGTTAATATGATTCTCCTAATTTTAGGTGAGCAAGTTATTACTCAACACACTTCACTCATCAATCACTATTGCTGTTATACATAAATTACAAATATCATAGTACAGTTATAAATAACATAATTAGCTTGTGCTTTAAATATTCAAGTTACTTTTTTTTAAGTTAAAGATTTAGAGAGTTGGATGCGTACCACCATTTCTCCTCTGTGTATGACCAGCTTTGTCTGGGGAGCAGGGCCTATTGACAGTGGGGTGTTTCCAGGAAATGTCCTTTCGGGCACTGCCGCTCAGGGACGTTAGTTAGAGAAGTGCTAGTTCAGCAGGGCCGATGAATCAGAACAATCAGGACCTGGGAACTCAGCTCACAGGACAAATTTATTTTCCATGATTATACCTTAGTCATTTCGTTTGACATTTCTGAGATGAAGTTTTGTTACAACACATGCCAATGGGCTGAGGAAATGAGATTGCTGAAATGCAGTAGACATTGAGAAGGAAAATAAAGTAGGCATGGATTGCATTTTAAATAAGACAAAGCTTTGTGGAGAAGGTTTGTATTTGAGGGACTTAAGGAAGGGAATGTATACTTAGCCTCTAACTAAAGTTTCCATTGTCCTTTATGTTGGAAGCTGATATTTATTCATATAAAAGGTACTTATTTGTATATCTTCAGTGAGAGCTAAAAGTCTATCAAAATTAAAAGTACAGTGGATATTAATCCTGTGCTGTTCTCCTGTTATTTATCCCTACCCAGAACTATTCAGCTGACTCTTATTTTATTAACTGCAATGGAATTATACAGAAACAATGAGTTGTACTCAAACTGATATCCTCTTGATCCTTTTCTTAGTGTCTTGTCTGGGTATTATAACAGTAAATGTATGTGACTGATTAATAAATGATATTTTTACACTTATTCACTTCCACTAAACATCCTATGTAATAAAGAGCTAATATGCAAATGGGCATCACCCCTCACACCATCATGCTGTAATGGCTCAGACACTCAACACTGGGGAGAGAGGATTGGGGACCAGCCAGGAACAAATGAGCTTGCAAGAGAAGAACGAGACCAGCCAGGCGGTAGCCCCAGAGAGGGTCAGCTGCATGTCTCATGGTCTCAGGTGCCAGCAGCTGGGGCTGTAGCCCAGAGTGAGAAAAGTTGCTTGCGGCTGGCCTGGGCAAAGCTGGCCAGGGTCCTGGGTGCTATGGCCAGCCAGAGGGAGGGAAGCCCAGGTCACAGGTGTCTGCGTCAGCAGGAGGAAGGAATTCTGGGTCCTGGGTGCAGGGTGAGGCAGAGTGGTTAGGGGTGATCAGGTCAGTTAGGGATGATCAGGCAGACAGACCAAGGTGATCAGGGGTGATCAGGCAGGCATGCAGGCAAGTGGTTAGGAGCCTGCGTTCCCAGATTGCAAGAGGCAGTTGGACACTCCCTGAGGGGTCCTGGATTGGAGAGAGTGAAGGCCAGGCTAAGGGAGCTCTCCTTCCCCATGCATGAATTTCATGCACTGGGCCTCTAGTGTAAAATAAGATACTTAACATACTGCTCCTACTTAAGACCTGAATCAATCAGTTAATATTGTATCATTCATAAC